GGATTCAAATTCTTTCAATATAGATAATGTAAGAGCATTTTCTCTATCTTTACACTGTACACATATTTGATTACCCTTATATGAAAGTAATAAATCTAATCCACTATTTTCTTCAATAACTTGAATTATATAGGCAATTATCCTATTCTGGTTAAATAATTTATGAAGATCACTTTCGAAAATATGACCTTTTGACCAATTTGTCACCTGAAATAAAATAAAAAAAATTAATAAAACATATTTTTCACTCTATGGGTTGTGGCGTCTTACACGTTCGTGTTCTTAGCAAAAACAAAATTTATCCTCGAGAAATTTTTTTAAAAAATTTTCTTCCCAGAATAAATTTCTAATGCCTGAAGAGCAGTGTGCACAAATATGATTATTAAGTAAATATAACTCACCTTTTTATCAGTCATTTCAAAATTATATAATTAAAAATCTAACCGGTTAAATAGACTAGTTAAAATAAAACTAAATAAAAATACTATCAAAAAATTTAATTTTTCTTTTAGCAATAATGACGAAAAGCTTTTCTAAGAAGGAATCCAAATTTAACATTTATTTCTACATTATTATAAATAAGATAAATAAAATGTTTTTCCTGTTTTGAATCGATATGTTTTATATTAATATCAGTACGATTATTGCCTTAATATACTTTAACTTCATCAGCTGATACACCATATACTCCAGCTATTTGTTGAACAAAATATTCAAAATCAGCAGTCTCTTCAGTTAATTTTTGAATAAAATATTTTCATACAGAATTATCAAGAAAAAAATCTTCTATTTAAATTATGTATAAATCTTTTTCAGATTATATCAATAAAATTCTAATCGGTTAAATAACTGATTAGACTTAAACTTTAATTAAAAAGACTAGTAAAAAACACCATATCATCAAAACTTAAAGAATAAATTTCATAACATTTCTTGCAAATCTCGTGACAATGATGATTTTGATTTCTTCTTTTACATTCTAACACTTCACAATCATAAACTTTATCTTTAAACCATATACTATACTTAAAAAGAATTTTTTTTCTAAACATCATTCATATTCTTTTTTAGAAAGCTCATATTCTTCATAAGTTTGCAGCCTTGTTTGTATTAAATTGTTAGTTTCTATAACTAACTCTCTATCATCAATTTTAAAATAATATTCTGATTTTTTGATAGGAGTATAATCCTCAAAAGTATGTGTGTTAGGTGTTAAAATATATT